ATATATATATATTCTTTACAACAGAAAAGGCTGATTTTTTTTAAATTTTTTTGTAGTTATGAACTTGATGGGATTTTAGGTTATGCAATAATTAGCCTCTTTATTTTTCAGTTTCATGTTACCATAGTTTAAAACTGCTGCTCATGCAAACAGTAAGTTTGCTGGATATACCAAGTGAGAATAAAGTACTGACCTTTACTCTTAAAGAGTTACATTATAAGGCTGCAAGAGGACAGTCAAACGTAGACATATTTTGCCATCATGAACACATGAAACGGGTAATAGCAGGGCAAACCTTATTTTGCTACCTATTTTAGGTCTTGATGTCAGCTTGTTAGCTGACAGCTTTGCACTGGGTTGTGAAGGGTGCTGCGGTGGGGGTTAGAAGAGTATGTACATATGTGTGTTTGTGTTCACATGTCTGTTCAATTACATGCAACGCAACTGGTACAGGTGTTGCAGCAGTCAGTGTGATGCTGTCCATCGAGCATCTGACTTATCAAGTCAGCTTGTTTCTCATCTCAACCATCCAACCAGGCATTCAATTCACACACTCTCACCTGTGTTTTTTCTAGGAGCGAGGGAAAGGTAGTTTAACACAGATTGCAGAGATGGGGCGATAGGACAAGGACAGGAAATGTGGATGTTGTGTGATAAAGCAGCAGGAATATATGGGAGAGAGGCAGGCTAGCAGATAGGAAAATAGATCGGTGGCAGGGAGGGATGTGATGAAGTGATGGAGAGTGTGAGGAGGAGGAGGATGTAGAAGGAGGGTGTTTTAGCAAGTCCAAGGGGGAGGGATGAGAACGGGAGGGAGAGGTGAAGGAAATGGTTAGAAATAGCTGATGCACTCTGAGGCTTACAGAAAATCAATAGCAGTCAAGAGCAGAAGCCACAACCCCCACCCTGCTCTCTCTGGCTGTTCTCTCACCCTCCACTGCTCTCTTCCTTCAGTCCTTTTTCCTTAGGTTTTTTCCTTCACTCCATGTCTTTTCCTGTCACACTTTCCTCCTTGGTGCTCTCACACTTTCATGTACATTTTCGTCCATGTATTTTTTTTAACCCGCCTTTTGCCCTCTTCCTGTCACCAACACTTGATATTTCCACTGACTTTTTTCATACTTTTTTGTTTTGGAAAACCAACAAAAGCAACAGTGGTCATTTTTTAAATAATAAAGTATTATTTTGGATTATTTATATTCTGAGTTGTTGTGCTTTAATGTTTTTTGTTTAATGTCTTTAATGTTTTTAATGTTTTGATTATTTGTTAGAATAATTTAATCTGTTTACCTGTCTTTTTCAATTTTTTTATTCCAACTCCTAGATTAATTTGCGTACCAAGTGTGTAGAATTTACCACCGTCCAATAGATTTGTGTCTTCATTACATTTCTATTGTTTACACTTTCCTATTCTGCTGTTTGTCTTCAAACATTTTTAGGTTTACTGTTTTTTCAAGGGACAATTCTCACTTATGATTATCTTACCTACACTAAGACTGTGCAAACATCAGTATTTATACACGTTAACACTGATCTTGTCTAAGCAGGGTAAATAGGGTTCATCGAAACCCAGTGTTTAATCTGTGGCATGTGATGAAGACAGTGCTGCAGTTGTTCACAGCTTATTTATTGGAAAGTCTAACAAATAACATGTAGAATAATATAAAACCAGAGGCACATTAGTCCATTACCCCCACATATTCTAATTCATACTGCAGTCTTGGTATTCACCTCTGCTTGAGGCCCGAACTGCAGAACTGAACTGTGTGGGGTCTGTTAGTCCAACAGAGCTTTATGTCATTGAAGCATGCTGCTGTAGCTTCTGTGTTGTCCTCTATAGAGTGAGTCGAACTGAATGACTCGACTCTGACTCATTTTACAAGATTCTGACATTGTGTGAGTGAGACCATATTCAAGGAGGAAGCTGTTTTTTTTGCCTATTGTGATAAGTGAATGAGCGGTGTACAGAGGAGAGCTGTGCAGCCGGTGAGTGGTCTGAATGCTTCACCCACATTCTGTCCCAAACCATGTCAGTGGAAATAGCCTTTTAGTTGGTTTTCACTATAATAATTTAACATTTACTTACCTCAACCTTTTCAGTTTGTTTATATTACTTTCTCTGGGGATTAGACTGAGAGAGGAAAGGCCTTTTTAAGGACCGAGGAATTCATTTGTGAATAACCCTCTCTGCGTCTGCCTCCTCTCTTTTCTCTACATCTTTACTTTGTTGTCAGTCATAGCTTTTCTTCAAAGACGGAGGCTAGAAGCAGTAAAAATCCCACAAACAAACAGCCGATAGGTAAAACTGCTCCAGTAAAAAGGCTGCCTTGCATCCATTCCCCTTCTAGGTTACCTTTCGTCATTTCTATTGTAAAGATAGTGTTGTTTGGAGTACCCTTGGGAGTGCTTACCCTTGGAGTGTATACCGATACCACCATCTGTGATGAGGACGTCCCCAACCAAAAACTTTCCTACGACAAAAGAAAAATAAAAAGCTAGGGGCGGGGAGAAAAGGGAAAGACAATAAAAAAACATGAAAGGATTGTGGAAAAACAAGAGCGTAAAAGTCTTAGTTGTGATGCAAGCAGCAGTATCATCAGAAGAGCTCCTCTAATCCAGGATTACTGGGTTTGTTTTGTTTGTGTGTGCATTAACATCTACTCAGAAAGACAATACCATATGTGTTTCAGTCATTTTCATACTGTATATGCGGTCAGCAGCCTTTCTCACAAACATGTTGTCATTGTTTTTTTCCTGTTGTGTACTACATCCAGACAGCATTAGGAAAAATAACAAAAGGATTAAATAAACTGTATAGAGATAAACAAGGGTCTATATAAGAGCTGGGTAAATTGTTCAGTTTCTACAAAGGTTGGACCAACAAGTTTTATTGTAACGTATCATTATAATAAAAACTGTGGCTATTTCTCAGTAATGTTCACATCTCTGCAAAGGTTCTTAACTGTGAAAATTTGTAAGTTCACTCAATTTTAAAAATGAAAACAATGAAAAAAACAAGTATTGCTTGCGGTATATTTATATATATATTTTTTTGTTTGTTTGTTGGTGCAGGGGCCTCTGGTGGAGCATATCACTGCCATCCTGACCATGCATATGGAGAGGAGAGTGATAAGGTCAGTCACATTTTCTAAAATTATTATTATTTTATTTAAATGGAAGGATACAATAATTTATGTACCAGCTTTTGTGTTGTGTACTTTGAACCTTTTTTATTAGGGCTGTCCCTATTCAGCCTTTTCACTTCGGATACACTACCGAAATTGCATCCTTGAATATTGTCTGATACCAGTATTGACCCGATATCAAATTAGAATGAATCGTACATACTTTTATTACTTTTTGTAGTGTGAAATCTTAAAGTCTTGATCAAATCAAATGGTAAACAATAGTCAACAGTAGATATGAGGAAAAACTGGTCCCATTTATTAAATTCTAACTGGTTACATAATATTTTAACTTCAACATAAGAATATACAGTAGTACAATTAAATACAATAAAGAAGTAATGAAATAGAAAACACAAAAAATACCACAATAAATCCAATAAAAACAAAATATACTTTTAAAGTGTAAAATAACTATTCAAGGTTACTTAAGTTATTTATGCTGGATCTAGAACCTGCTGGATAGAAATCCTGAGTGGACTATTGGAATGGACTGTTAGTCCTTTTACGAAAGATTTTAGAGACAGACTGATATAATCCGATATTCATTTTTTGGCTAATATTGGACTGATATCCAATATTCATATTGGATTGGGACAACCCTATTTTTAAGCCTTTTCTTTCACTTTGAGTAAAGTTTGCCTTTGAAAACAAAAAAAGGTATGGGGACAGTTTTTGCAAATATAATCTGACCTTCAAGACCATTTACACAGGGTTAGGTAGTTTCTTCTATCAAACAAATAATAGCAACCAATATTTCAAATGAAGAGTCCAAAAACTTGTGAAATTGTCTAAAGTTTCAAATGCCTCCATAGTTTTGTTTATGGTTAGAGACTAGGTTGCTTTTTGCACTGTTTATTATAGTTGTGTGTAGGGCTGCCACAAACGATTATTGTAATAATCGATTAATTACCGATTATTTATTCGATTAGTCGACTAATCGGATCATACGTTAATCGAATATAAAAGATAGAGCTTATCACGTCAGAATGCAGCTGTTATTATATAACCATCGTTAGATTTTAGCTATATGCTAACTAAAAATAATTGCTGTGGAAGGCAAGTTATTGCATTGAACAGGTTTCTCTTTCATTTTCTTAAAATGATCCCACACTTTTGAGCTCCGTTGCTGGGTATCCATGATACCAGAGCCTGTCTGTATAATGTCTTGTGACGTCCACGGCCTATCCCAGTTACCACTACTGTGCATGTGTGTCACGGACAGAAAGGCAGATGTGGCAGTGGAAGGTGTCAAAGCAGTTTGGAGAGAAAAACAAAGTAAAGAATGAAAAAAGAAAAGAAAATGATTAATCAATTATTAAATTAGTCATCGATTATTTTAATAATCGATTAGTTGTCGACTAATCGTGGAAGCCCTAGCGTGGGGCTGCGCACATTTCCACGTTTATTTCAGTTTTGATACATCCGGAGTTTTGCATGGAAAATGGCGTACGCAAAGTTTTTGTGCGTACGCACCGTTGATACACGAGGCCAAGATGACAATGCTGCGCTGTAATCAAAGCTAAATGTGGTCCAACAATATATTAGAGTGTGACCTTTTTGGTAGCTCCTGTTTTTGGCCAGGCAGTCAGTATTACACTGAATACAGATGTTCTCAGTCATCTTCACTGTTTCAGGAGCTGTGAGTGGAACTTCATCATCATCCTCCTTTGTTTTTGTCACATTTTGCAAAAGAAGCACTCGCAGTGTATTTAAGGCTCAGAAAATAACAGAAAAAATACTTTGACTGGAATTTTTATACACCTGGAGGTTACATAAGCATCGCCCTCCACCACCCAGTACCACGCATTTGAGCCCTTCCTCCTGAATACAGGTCAAAGCTTTTTAAGTAAAGAGGAGTACACACCAGTGGTTCCCAACCGTGGTCCTGGAGGCCCCCTGTCCTGCATGTTTTAGATGTTTCCTGCTCTTAGCAGGTCTTCACATTCTTCAGAAATAATCACTAAAACATGGTGGATAGTGGGCCTCAGGGACCAGGGCTGGGAACCACTGGTGTACATAGTAAAAGTACACAGTTACATGGTCCAGTGTTCTTATGTTGGCTGTGGGTCCAGTACCTGGTCCAGTGTTCTTATGTTGGCTATTGGTCCAGTACCTGGTCAAGTATTCTTATATGTTGGCTGTGAGTCCAGTACCTGGTCCAGTGTTCTTATATGTTGGCTATTGGTCCAGTACCTGGTTCAGTGTTCTTATATGTTGGCTCTGGGTCCAGTACCTGGTCNTACCACTACTGTGCATGTGTGTCACGGACAGAAAGGCAGATGTGGCAGTGGAAGGTGTCAAAGCAGTTTGGAGAGAAAAACAAAGTAAAGAACAAAAAAAAGAAAAGAAAACGATTAATCGATTATTAAATTAGTCATCGATTATTTTAATAATCGATGAGTCGTCGATTAATCGATTAATCGTGGCAGCCCTGGTTGTGTGTAAAGTAACCTATTATACAAGCATCTACAACACAATGCAGCCAGTTCACTCAGAAGTATATTCAGGTTATCCAATACAAAAAGCTATAATAGAGCAAGGATAAAAGTTTTATCATTGAAAGACAAACAATACTTTATTTTTGAATAGGTTAGTTTAGAGTTTCACACTTGAAAAAACAATTATTTGTTCACCGATTTAATTAACACATTTTAATTAAAGCAAAAGAAAAGACTGCACATATGCGACTCTGTAAATATTTTAATCATCACATGTTGAGGTTTGTGGAAAAAGTAAGCAGATAAAATGAAAAACAGTCAAGAAGAAGAGGGGAGGCAGGATGCCGAGGTGTTACTGAAAGCTTGAAGGGAGATGGAGAAGGGAGGGAGGCGAGGCCAAAAATGGGGAGGGGGCATTGCTAATGATTTCAACCTCCAGCTGTGGAACTTGGTTGGAGTGAGTGAAGCAAAAGGAGGGGTAGGAAGGGAGGAACAGTGGCAGAGGAGCCAAAATGAGCTTTGAAATCATGTTGATGGAAAGAAACTAAAAGCGGGAGGGAGAAGCCCTTGTATGTTGAGGGAAGCATTTTTGTAAATATTATTAAAACTCACACATTAAATGACCATATTTGCTCAGTGTTCACACTCAAGAAAAAAATCTAGTGCGTGAAAAGGAAAACATGATATTGTAAAGGTGTATACTTTTATACTGTGCTTTGTGCTTTGTCTTTAGTTTGGTTTTAAGCAATGAAAAAAAAGCCTCAACAGCTGTTGGCTGGAGTTTTTGTGTTTGAGAGTAAATGAGTGCATAAACCAAATGTGGATGTTGTGAAATGTGGAAGGGTGTGTCAGGATATCTGTCCAGCCTGGTGTGTGCACACACTGAATGCAAGGACACGAATGTGGCTAGCATTTACAGAACAGTTTCTGGGAGTGTTTGGGATTTTGCATTTCTCCCATGGTTAGTCTTCCCCACCCCCCATTTTTTTAGCCTTGATGAAATGTTTTTGGACAAGTCTTGTATAGGCATGGGCAGATTACCAGTTTCAAGATATACCACAATGTCAAAACTACTACATTATTCTGTCGTAATGTTCCTACAGTTTAAATGTCTTCAAATAAGACACTAGAGACAAAGCAAGTTTTTTTTTTGTTTGTTTGTTTCCCACCCCCCACCCCCCTTTCATTACATAAATCGTAGAACAGCGCTCCTCCTCTCCTACCCGTTTCTCTGAGCTGTCATTCAGTCATGGACCGTGGCCAAGGGGGGGATTTCCAAAAAACTTTTATGCTGCTTAAAGAAGATGTTCATTAGTTTAGTTGTACATTTTATCCAGCAGGTAATCCAGTCAGTAATGGCTTGTCTACCAGAGAAGCAACACATACTTTTCCTTTAAAGCTGATGTCAAACAAATGTTTGCAACAAGCTAAGCTACAAGAGTTGGTGTTAGCTGAAAAAATATACACTTAAGACAAATCATTACTAATATTTTCAGGCTCAGTATTACTTACAAAGAGCAAAACCGCAGGGGAAAAAAGTAATATTTTGTACAATTACTAATAAATAAACACTGAACAAAGTTACATGTAAACAAAACAGCCTGCTGACTCCAGTGTTTTAGCTGTCGCTGTTTAAATTATATTTTAAATGTAGTCTCAACACATGGGAATAAATAAAAAAAGTTTCAGGCTTGATCACTTGTTTACTTTGCACTAAAATTATATAAATACTGTATGAATAATCATATTTGGTAATACAATGTACATATCAAATAATGATTTTAAACAGTGTTATAAATGCAGCAAAAGTAAGTAAATGCACTTTTGCATTTAAGTAAAAGCAAATAAATCATGTTTTACAATGTTTGGTTTATACCGTTAAACTGTTTTAGTTTTTTCTCAATGTTATAACCTCAGAATCTCATATTGGCCCATGCTTAGGCCCGTGTCTTTGTATTCTATAAACACTCAGTGGAACATAAAGCATAGTGCTTGAGAATTCACACACTCCTTTGTCTGACGATGGCCCCCCCTCCCACTAACATGGACAGACAGGCCCATCAAACTTTCATACTAATGAACAATAGTCTGTGAGTATGAAGACTGGCTGTACGTGTTTGTCCTCCTCCTGCTGCTCTTGTCCCTTCACATTTCAAGCCAGGGTCTCGGACAGGTAAGATGGACCACAAAAAGGGAGAGGGAAGAAGACGCGGGGGGGTGGGGGGGGGTGCTTAGAGATGGGTTTAGCTTATCTGATGGAAGGAGGAAGGGGGATGGGAAGAGATTGTTGAAGAGGGTGGGGAGAGTGTGTGGTGGTGGAAGAGTCTGGCTTAGATATGAAAATGGGCACAGTATATGTCCCAAGGGTTTTGGGGTTGGTGCGGGGCTGGTGAAGAGGTTGTGGGGTGTTGGGTCGAATGAGAAGGGTCTATTGTCAGAAGAACAGAAAGAGATGCTGTCCCACACGGTTATGGAGAAACACTGGATGCTGTGTCTTCTACATAGATAATAATGAAATCTTCTGGTAGCTGCTCTAAGATTTAACTTTTATTTTGAAGGATTTTTTTCCCAAAAAGTACAAAAAAAGTTGAAATTAGTACATTACACCTCCTTTATATTTGTTGTCTTATATGTTCACTTTGTTTGCTTCTTTATTCCAGTTCCTTCCTGTCGTATAGTTCACACTACTTACTTATTGTTAGAATCCAATAAAGAGCTCAAGCTCTTGTCACATCAGTTCAGTGACAGAGCCGTTGTTTAAAGGGTTTGTTTCTGTAGTATAAATATTTTTTTCATTCTGTTTTTTTTTCTTTAGGAGCACATTTTCTCTGCAGCGCTTTAGGAGATATTCTTCATGAGCTGTAGAAACAGTGGCAGCTGCTCATGTGTGAATTTGCACATGTCTGCAGGCGTCTCCATAACCGCGTGTGTTTCTGCAGTCTGCTCTCCAGCTGTTTCCTGTTAGCTATCACACCGCTCTCAAGGCTGCTGAGCTGTGGATATGTGTGCGTTTGAATTTTGGGCTTTAAAAAAGTCACAGACGCTGAGTCATTTTTTTTTATCACGCTTTAAAGTGACTGTCCCACAAAGAAGGCTGGTGGAAGCGGGGGCCAATTAGGCAAAAGAGGGGAAAGTTAAGACGCAGGAATCGGGAAATGCGTACATGTGTGGCGTCTGTGTACACGAAGCACAGCGCAGCTCCTCGTAATGTGGAATGACTAATAACTGACACATGGGCATGTCTGTGTGTGTTCTTGCCTCACCGAGTGCCAAGCATGAGAGTCACTGCTTGACTGTAAGTGAGGTGATTCACAGATGAGTCAAAACGATTGAAACATGAGTATATGATAACTCATCAATCAGATCAAACCGGAAGACTGTATAGGTAGCTATGTCACCGTTATTGCTGACTTTTTCTACGAGTCCATGAGAAAATACTTGTCAAGCCTTCCACTCGAGGGTGTGTACTTGAAATTTGCACATGTGCTTGTGCGTGCTTGCCTTCTGTTTGTATTTCCTCACTCCAAGAGGAAGTGACTTTGAACCCTTGGGGCCTCTGAGTGCTGGTGGTGTAACAAGCTCCCTCTCACAGATATACACTCATATAAGGACAGGCACACCGGTACAGGTACAGGCAGATATGGTTTATGTGGAACACAATAGTGTAGGCTGGGCTAACTCTAAAGTATAGGGAAATTGATTTATTGGGCATGAGTGCTATGGGTCAGTTAACCCAACCTCTCTCCTTTTTCCCTCTTCTTCTACTCTCCTCTGTCCCTTTTTTGTTTCCCCTCCCTTTGCAGAGCGAGGAAAGCCCCAGTCCAAAGCGCCAGAGGCTGTCCAGTCAGCCCGTCTTAGAACAGTTGACCTCATCTGCACCCCCACCATCCACCCCGTCTCCCCCCATCCGGCCTTGGGAGTCGGGGCCCCCGAGTCGCCGACAGCCTCACCCTCACCCGCTGTATCACCAGGAGAGGTGCCTGACTCCTGCACGGCTCAGACGAAGGTAAATAACTTTTTATTTAACCCTCACCACCACCGTTTTACAGATACTCAGCTTGAGTTTGGTGCGTTAGAAGCTGACGCCGTCATCAGCACACTCTGAGCGCTAACTTGTTGCGCAAGATGGGAGTTTAAAACTTTGCTACATGTGGTAAAATCTCACATTATCTGATGGCTTATCGTCATTTAACGACCAGCTATATTTCTGTCCCATTTTATCGTGAGATAATTTTAGCTTAAAGCTCTAGCATGAAAGGGGGCGGGCAATATGAACTCCTTTAAAGAATGCTAGGCCTTTAATTTGTGAAGAGTTTTCTCAGAGTTCTGGATATGAAAGTGTCTCTTCCCTCTTCCAGCCCGCCAGCGAGGCGTCAGCGTGGCCGTCTCTCCAGACCTCTCCGTCACCTGCCTCCACATCACCACGCTTCTGCTCAAGGCCCTACAGCTCGCCTGTCACCATCCGAGCTTCAGGATGAAAACTACCACCACAGCTCTCACCCCTCCACACAACAGACGTACACGTCGCACGCTCCGAGCAACTATGCTCAGCCCCCTGCGGTCGGTGGTGGGGGTTCGGACGAGCCCCGAGCCTTTCACCCCCCGACTTTGTCGCCTCAAGTACTGCACCCGGCTGCTCACCACCACCCACATCATCATCATCATCATCACTCCCACCAGCAGCAGCACCATGCAACGCAACAGCAAGGGGCGATGGTGATGGACCTTCACGAGCGGGTTAGTTAGAGAACATTAAAGTGTCTGTGACATGCCTATCCTTCAAATACAAAAAGTCTAAGAAAATGTCTTTATACTTAAGAAAATTGGCATAGTACACAAGATTTTACCCATTTTGTCACATAAATGGCATATTTTTTCTTTTGAATTTGGCTCAGCCGAAGTGAAACAGGAAGTGACATCAAAGGAGGATGCACTAATAAAATAAACTCTCTGGTCTTTGTTTATTAAAACAAAATTATTTAAACTTTCACGCTTCTTTGTCTCTCTTTGATAGCGACTAAAAATAATGTAAAGTAACATCAGATTCTTCTCTACAGTCTGTGTTGTTAGCTTTTGTTACAACGCACTGTGTACATGCAGACATTCCCCTTTGACATCACTTCCTGTTTCTTCACACGCAAATATCTCAACAACCGTTGATCTCAGCGGTGTGAAATTTTTTTTGCAACATGTTATTGATGTTCTCTTTTCAAAAATGCATTCATGTTTATTACAAAAATCTGATGTCACAGGCCCTTTAAAGCTTTTGAAGGTGCGACATGTGCGAGGCCTTTGATTAACTGTGGCATTGCTTCTCCTCAGCTGCAGCAGAGCAGTGTTCCAGTCTCCTACACGGTGACCCCAGTCCCTCCACACGGCCTCGCAGCGCCTTTGTGTGGCGGTCAGCATCTTCCCCCTTCCTGCTCCTCACAGCCACAAGTCCCCGCCTGCAGCGTGGTCTTCAGCACTGGACAACACTACCATCCGGTGAGACACGTTCCCCACTCAGCATTTTGTGGAAACATGGTTGTTTGTGCAGTTTTTTTTTATTTTTTATTTTATTTTTTTTTATTCTCGTGGCTCAGCTAAAGAAGGGTTTGTACAGGAAGTGGTTTCAAATATGCGACAGCATTCTGTAGCCTAAAGAACTTTGTTTACTGAGTCGTTGCCACCACCTTGTGGTCGCATGAGGAGTTACAAAGAGAAAATGTAATTTTTATTATGCTTATTTTTATTTTTTTCTTCTTTTATTTCAGATGTTGCAGGCGTGTTCCATGCATCATTTGCCGGTTCCCTACACCTTTCCATCTCTACTGTCTAGTGACCCTCAGTTCCTGATAACTCCTTCACCTCATCTGTCTCACCACCCGCCCCACCTCCCAACACACGCACAGTTCCTGCCTTTCCAGACGCAACCGGCACGATCGGTATGTGAACACTTTGTGCTCTTGAAGTTTGTTTTCTATGTTTTAACTCGCGTCATTTTGAGCTTATGACAAAAGCAAAGCAAAGTGAGCCTCAAGTGGTTATAAATATCGAAAATGTTGCTTTATATTCAAAAGAAAAGTATAGATTCCTTCTCTCGAAAACAAAGTAGAGCTGCTGAAATAAGGACCTTTAATTTGTATTTTGTCGAGCTGCTTTTTTAGTTTAATGCCTATCATTGTTCTGATTTCTTTATCTCAGCCCTTACAAAGGATTGAAAATGAGGTTGATATTGTGGGGGAGCAGCTTCCTGTTGCTGGAAGCTTCAGCTACGCCCATCATCACCATCACCACCATCACCAGCCTCCCACCACGCTGCCGCCCTCTACTCCGCTCCAGTTCCTGTCACACCATGACCCCCTGTCACAAGAGCTCTTTACAGTGGTGGGTGCATTCAATAAACTGAATATATCTGTTGTTGGTTGTGACAATTTGTATGTTATGATCAGATGTATATTATTTTGTCTTACAGCCATATCCCCACTTCATGCCTCGTCGCTTCACGAGCCGACGTTACCGCTCCCAACAGGCTGTGCCCCCCTCTCCCTATCACCCCAGCTTCCTGCCTTACTTCTTGTAAGTGTTTCTACAACTACGCAGGTGACTGTGCGACACATTTAACAGGGGAATAAAGTGATCATACTTATTGTTTTTTTAAATTTTTTATTCTAGGTCTATGCTTCCTGTGCCCCCAAATGTGGCTCCTGCTATCAGTCTGGAACTGGATGTGGATGATGGCGAGGTAGAGAACTACGAGGTAGGACAAACTCCTGCCTGAGTTTTCTTTCATTATTTTAAGATGATGTAGGTTCTTTCAATGGGAGAAATCCAAAATCATCTTTAACCTTTAGGCCCTGTTGAACCTCGCTGAGCGTTTGGGAGAGGCCAAGCCCCGCGGTCTCACCAAGGCCGATATCGAACAGCTTCCGTCGTACAGGTTCAACCCCAACAACCATCAGTCAGAGCAAACACTGTGGGTAGCTCTGTTAATTGTTAAGCGTCTGCGTTTTTTGGGTCGATTTGGTTTCTAACGTGAAGAGAGTTTGTTCCAGGTGTGTGGTGTGTATGTGCGACTTTGAGTCTCGCCAGCTTCTTCGGGTGTTGCCCTGTAATCACGAGTTCCATGCTAAATGTGTAGACAAGTGGCTGAAGGTGAGTGAGGACACACTTTTTATTTGGACAAAACAAATAAGGCAAATCAGATTTACAGCCATTCCCAGGTTGCTTTGATTCCAGCAGACAGAGACGAATGTGTCTTTTTGTATTTGTCTGTAGAGCTTGCTTGTAAATAATTATGTTGGACATAAAGTTTCAATCGGTCTAATCTTCTTGTCTTGTTCTAGGCTAACCGGACCTGCCCTATCTGTCGAGCCGATGCCTCTGAGGTCCAGCGGGACTCTGAGTGACCTCAGATTAACACAGTCCCTGACTCCCTTTTGGATGCACCAATCAATCTGTAAACTCACATAATCTGTCATGTGATGGGGACCACTCCTAATGAATCTTTAATTATTCATCCCATTGTCACCGAACTGGAACTCTCACCAGGAAACAGCATTTAGGTGCGTCAAGACTTTCTACTCACTCCTGCTCAGTGTGTTACTGGACTTTTTAGGCCCTGTGTATTTTATTTTTTAATTTTTTTACTCCTATCCTGCCACCTAGTGATGGTTACTATGAATGGCCTTTGAAACAACTCCATCCATTTCGATGTTTTTCTTTTTTTAATGTTATTGTGAACCTTTTCTAATTTACATGACCTGTAAAAAAGATCWAAACTTTTAACAGAAAGTGTAATTCCAAAGATCATGATGGAAACTTTACGATTATTCTAATCAAGCTTTTAAACCTTGTCGTTGGGAGGTTTTTTATTTTTATTTTCTATTTGACTGATTATTAATTTATAATTTCTTATAATTCTTGAACTCGTCAGAGTCAAAGCGGTCTGTAGAAGGTGAAACAAAGATACTGTTCATTGTGTGGAATGATACACTTTTATTCTCTTTATAGAAAAGTGTGTTTCAGTGAGTTTGTGAGATCATTTGGTTTTGGCTGCTGTTTGTAGAAAAGTGTGTTAAATGTGCTTTTTTAACTCGCCTCTCCTCCTACAGACTGGTTTGGACCCACGAGCTCAGAGTAACTTGTGACATTTTTAGCCCAGTTTTAACTCAAAGATGAAGCCCAAGGTCTTTCTTTTCCTTTAAAAAAACATTAAACATCAATCTTTAAATGAAGTTTTGAATTGTGACCATATGGATTTATCATTACCCACAGCTGACATAAAATTGTGTTGTTGTTTTTTTCTTTGACTAAGTTATTTAAAATGTGATTGTGTCTTATTTTTTTTTGCTTGCCCTCTGTGTATGTTCTGTAGATATCAATCTCCTCTTTTCTCCATCACTTACAGGGAACAACCTTTAGAGACTTGGACGGTCTTAACTAGCTCTAGTATGTTTCACTGGCGGATTTGACACTTCAGCACTTTAAATGATAGATTTTAAGACCCAGGCTGACTCTTTTCATTCTGAGCAAACCACAGTTTTCAGTCTCAAATTTCTACAGGAACACAGTGGATCATCACCATTTCTTTTATATTCTTATTGCTCACCAGATTGCCCCCTAATGGTTTTGGTCTCTGTAAAGTAGTTTTCACATAAAACCCCTGGAGATGTTTGAGACAGTTTGGTTGCAGTTTTTGACAAGAGTTTGCACATCACCTTACCTGCTGACCTTCCAGAACATCCAGGCAGGCTGGATTTAAAATGAGCAAATCCTGCAGACAGTTGTGCTCACTAGGTATTTTGTTTGATCATAATAAAACTAAATGATTGCAGAATGTGTGCTACAAAAGTGTCAGTATCATGTCGGCATGTCCCAATTCACAACCTAATATGAGATATTTAGAAACTTCTGGAACAACTGTAAAAAATAAAATAAACTAAAATAGGCACTTAAAGTGGCTTGGACCTGAGGTGCCTTTTATACGCCTGTGTCAGCTCCAGGTTCAACACTGATCTCACCGTAATCACCACTTTAGAGCATCTACACCAGTATATTTGTCCAAAGCTGACTTTTGTTTTCCAGCAAGTGCAACCAAACAAATGCATCAGTGTAAAAAAAAAAAAAAAACCCTATAAAAATGTGTCCATGTACAAAATCATGTATCAGCCATGGGAATCAATAGAAGATGTAATTTTTAGAGGTCATTTTTTGTGATTGTATGCATCCATTTTGTGTTATAGGATTGTTTTCTCTCTTTTTTTGCCTTTTATTTTGTTTTTTTCTTGGTACACTAGTTATTACCTCAGTCCCATTATTTATGTCTTCTGAGAGAATGGCGAAACCGGTCTGATTAGTGCTCTGGTTTTGCTGATGTTTTTATGCAGATTGCTGGGTTGTTTGTACATTTTCCTTCACTTTATGAAACTGTATTATTATGATGGTGTCATAGTAGTTTCATTATGTATTATATCTGTAACCAAAATCGTTTGAAGGCTTGTTACGATGAGAATGGAAATTTTTAACAAACATTTGTACATTTTGTATGAGAGTTACTTATGGTAATACTTTATTAAGTAGTGCAATGATTTTTTTAATCCCTTACCCCACCTTTTGGATTTCAAAAGCTGGTTCGATAATAAATATATAACGTTCTCTTTTAACTCTTGTGCTGTCGTGTCATTCTGGTTTTAGCTTTGCACTGGAAATGTTACATGTAAAAGATTGAACTGTCAGATTTGTGTAATTTCACAGCAGCTCTCTTGGTGGCAGTGTAGTTCTGTTTCCCACAAATATATATTTATAGTCCCACTTTTACTTTTGAGTCTACAAAACCACAGTCGTATAAATTTACTGCATGTACAATAAAACAATCTATTCCTATATAATCAAAATGTGAAAGATGATCAATTACTTGAAGATAATTACAGGAAGCAAACAATTTCAACTAACATCAGGAAGGAGCACGAGAACTCCTTCAACAAGAGTTGAAAGAGGAAATACAGAAGTTGGAGAGTCCAAACATCAGTAGTCCTGGTGGTCATTGGAGCGTTTGGTGTTGAGACCCCAAACTGGACTCAAACAGATCCCAGGAACAACCTCAGAGACCTCTGTTCAGATGAGTGCAGGCCCAAAACAACAGAACCCTGGAGGACCTGGGTTTGAAGTGAAATGGAACGACCCGAGTGGAAGAGTAGGGCACAGGGTGGTTCCACTTCACTTCCTGCTTCATGCTTGTTCTCTTAGGATCAGTGTCAGTCCTGTTGGTCATTTCCTCAATATGCCGGTGGTACAAGCTGTGCAGGGGCTTATCTTTCCATGATGGTTTCTTTTTTCCTTTTCCACACAGATATTCACTTACCTCTTCATCATTGGAAGCTTTCTTCCTGATGTACTCCAGGATCTTTGATCCTATAGTGGCACTATAGACCCCTGTTTCCCTCCTCTCTTAGAGTACAGTCAAAGGATGCTTGGCATGCGGTGAAACCCTCCATGCACTGTGAAAAGCTTTCATATCCTAATGTCAGTGGCTTCAGTTTCCTCCTTTGTCCAGACTTATACCATCTGATGTTGGTAAGGTGTGCATGTTGATGGCTTGAAGATTGCACTCAAGTAAAAGAACAAAGGAAACCAATCTGAATACAAAGGTTGTTGTGGTTTTTGCACCTGAACATCTTAGGGATCAACTTTGCAGCCTTTCACCTCCTCTGGATGGCATTAATCTGGCCTCCAGTTCTAATGTAAAGAACTTGGTGTTATTTTTGATCAGGACATGTCTTTTAACCCCAACATTAAAAATGGACTGCCTTCTTCCACCTGTGTAATATCACTAAAATTAGAAATATTTTGTCCAAAAATGATGCAGAAAAACTGATACATCCATTCATCACATCCAGACTGGATTACTGTATTTTTTTATTATCTGGGCATCCAAAATCCTCTTTAAGAAGTCTTCAGTTAATCCAAAATGCTGCTGCTAGAGTTTTAATGAGAGTTGGAAGCAGAGATCATATTTCTCCAGTTTTAGCTTCTCTCCACTGGCTCCCTGTCAAATTCAGAATAGAATTTAAAATATTACTCCTAACATTTAAAGCTCTTAACAACCAAGCTCCATCATATATTAAACATCTTATTGTTCCATACTTTCCTAACAGAGCACTTCACTCTCAGACTGCAGGTTTACTTGTGGTTCCTTGAGTTTCTAAAAGTAGAATGGGAGGCAGAGCTTTCAGTTATCAAGCTCCTCTCTTGTGGAACAAACTTCCAGTTTCTGTCCGTGAGGCTGACACTCTGTCTACTTTTAAGATTAGACTGAAGACTTTCCTTTTTGATAAATCCTGTAGTTAGACTTAGGTTTCCTGCATTATTCTTCATTTCTGCTGCTGTAGACTTAGACTGCTGGAGCACAAACTGAGCACATTTCCTCACTCTGCTGTGGTCTTTAGTCTCTCTCCTCTACATGTTCAATTGCTTTTATCAACTGTATTTTTTTGGTCTCTCTTCTAGAAAAAACAAATAGACCTGGACCAATCCTTCTGTGTTTGTGTCTCTTTCCTTCCTAAACGCAGCCGGTCGAGGCAGATGGCTGGCTGTCCTGATCCTGGTTCTGGTTCTGCTGGAGGTATCTTCCTGTTAAATGGGAGTTTTTCCTCACCATTGTCACCAATGTGCTGCTCAGGATGGAAGACTGTGACGAAGTGATGATTCAACACAATCTTCTGGATTCTTAAGATTTATTGTTATTTTGTTTTTATGTACAGTGCCCTGAGACGGCATTTGTTGTGACTTGGCGCCATATAAATAAATAGAACTGGAGTAAATGACTAGATGACAATCTGTGCAGGAAAAACAGAAGAGAAGTCTACCATGAAAAGAAAGCAAAAACACAATTGATGAAAGCACAGTTTGCAGCAGCACTTATAAAGTTTACCTTTGAAAAAGAAAACATCCGTATTGATTTGAAAAAGTATTTATATCTTCATTTAGTTCTTTTTAATAGCATCTCAAACACCATCAATGTGTTTAATGTAAAAATCAGAAATTTCCACACAGAATGACAACAAAGATCTGTCACCTCCTCTTCACACTCACGGCTTGGCAAAGCTGCCGTGTAAACACGACAAGTGTTGACAAACAGCACAAAACGCTGAATCTAATTAATTGATGGCAGATGTTTGATCTGTGCTGCTATACCCATCAGGTGGAGGAAAAAAAAACATCATTTCCCTCAGAGCTGAAATGCATCTGCATCTCCAGTTCACCTTATTGTTTTTTTACAACAACTCACATCAGCTGTAACTGTCTGTAAAACACCCCCCCCTCCAAGCCTTCAGCCCTCAGGCTGAGTCACTGATGTCAGTAAAACCAGAGATTCTGTCAAGATGAACAGACTGATCTGCATGCAGCCTTGACATCCCTCTTCCCAAACCCACAGTGACTGTTTCCAGAAACAGAGGAAGGAGTTTTTAAAAGACCTTTCAGTCTCCAGTCGCCTCTCATRAACTGTCATCTCTGAACACCTCACTCCAACTCTTTTCTTTCCCTTTCGCCATTTGTATCATATTTGCTACGCAGGATTCTYTGACCTATATTTTATCAATGTGATCAATATTTTCCTCAAAAACCTGTTGTATATCATGTGAGACCTGTATTCTGTCCTCTAGTGGATTATCAATGTACTGCAGGAAGTGAAACTTCTTCTTCTTCTTCTTCTTCTTCTTC